AGAAGCATTGTATGACAAACCCACAGCTAACACCATACAGAAAGGAGAAATGTTGAGAACTTTTCCTCTAAGATCTGGAGGATGCCCACTTTCATTGCTGCTGTTTGACGTAGTACAAAAAATCACAGCTAGAGCAATCAGGCAAGAGAAAGAAAACACATACAAATTGAAAAAAAAAAAAACATTTAAATTGTTCTTGTTTGCAAATGACATGATCTTATATATAGAAAACCCTAAAACTTCTTCAAAAAAAAAAAACCTAGAAGAAATCAATTTAGTAAAGATTCATGATTCAAAAGCAAAATGCCAGAATCAATAGTGCTTCAAAAAACATCCTAGAAGAAATCAATTTAGTAAAGTTTCACGATTCAAAAGCAACACTCCAGAATCAATAGTGCTTCTATATTGTCATAGTGAACTGTAAAAAAAAAAGAAATCAAGAAAGTAATTCCATTTTAAAAGACCTAGGAAAAAACTTAACCAAGGAAGTAAAAGATTTCTACAATAAAAACTAAAACATTGATTAAATTGAAAGAGAAACAAATAAATGGAAAAATCCCATATTCATGGATTGAAACAATTAATATTGTTAAAATGTCCATACTACCCAAATCATTCTACAGTTTCAGTGTGATCTCTAGCAAAGCTTCAATGACATTCTTCAGAGAAATAGAAAAGCCAATCCTAAAATTAATATGGAACCATAAAAGACCCTGAGAAACCAAAGCAATCTAAGGCAAAAAGGGCAAAACTGGAAGCATCATTCTACCTGAATTCAAAATATACTACAAGGCTATAATATCTACAACAGCATGGCACTGACATAAAAGCAGACACAAAGAATAGAAAGCCCAGAAATAAATCCATATATCTACAATCAGCTGATTTTTTACAGAGGAGCCAAAAAATACACATGGGGAAAAGGACAGTCTCTTTAATAAACAGGTGTGGAAAAACCTGGATATCCATATGAAACAGAATGAAAGAAGACCCTATGTCACCATATATGAAAATCAACCCAAAATAGATCAAAGACATAAAAATAAGAAAAGATACTAGAAGACTAAAAAAAAAGAGCATAAACAGTTCATAATATTAGACTGAGAAGCATTTTTTTATGACCTCAAAAGCACAGGCAACAGAGCAAAAATAGATAAATGGGATTACAGCAAATTAAAAAGCATCTTTACAGCAAAGAAAACAATTAGCTGTGAAAAGATAATTTACAGAATGAGAGAAAATATTTGTAAACTGTATATCCAGAAATTGTTATATCCAGAACATAATGAGAGAGACAGAGAGAGAGAGAGAGCTCAGAAAGAAAGAACAGAGGGAAGCAGGGGCTGGGGATTTAGCTCAGCGGCACAGCGCCTGCCTGGCAAGCGTGAGGTCATGAGTTCAATTCCTGGTACTGGAAAAAAACAAACAACAACAAAAAAGAACAGAGGGAAGGGAGGAAGAGAGAAAGAGGGAGTGGGAGGAAAAAAGATCTAATTTGAAAATGAGCAAAAGACCTGAACAGACATTTCTCAAGGGGCACACAAATGACCAAAAGGCACTAATGTCCATTAATAATCAGGGAAATGGAAATCAAACCTATAATGACATGTCACCTCACACCTGTTGAAATGGCTCCATACTGGCAAAAGGAAAACAGAACATGTATACACTGCTGGTGGGGAATGTGGAATAGCACAGCCATGATGGAAAACAGTATGGAAAAATTGAGTAATTAAAAGTAGAACTACCATATGATCCAATCTTACTATTTATATATGCAAAAGAAGTAAAATCAGTATATCAAGTAAACATCTATATTCCCATGTTTCTTGCAGCACCATTTATAATAACCAAGTTATGGAATCAATTTGTATCCATCAATAGATGGATAAAGAAAATATATGTTTTAAGGATATATATTATACACACACACAGTGGAACACTACTCAGCCATAAAAAGGATGAAATCCTGTCATTTGTGACAATATTGATAAACCTAGAGGACATTATGTTAAGTGAAATAAGCCTAAAACAAAAATACCAGTATTCAGTATTATATGACACACTTACATGTGGAATCTAAAAAAGCTGATCTCAGAATTTGAGAAAACAGTGTTTATCAGCGCCTGTGGAAGGGAGGAGAAACAGATAGTGGGGAGATACTGGTGTTCTGTTGCACCATAGGGTGACTATAATGAACAACACTGTGTTTCAAAATACAAAAGATTTTGAATGTTCTCACCACAGAGAAATACGTTTGAGATGAAGATAAGATAATTACCCTGATTGGATCATTTCACAATGTATACTATAAGAAAACATCACACATTGTACCTTGTGCAATTATTGTCAGTTAAATATGCAATTAGTCAGTTAAAATAAAACTTTTACAAATAAGTTAAAAGGGCCAGGCGTGGTGGCACACGCCTGTAGGCTGAGGCAGGAGGATCCTTACGAGTTCCAGACCAGCCTAGACTACAAAGTGAGCTCAAGGCCAGCCTGAACTGCACAGCAAGACCCTGTCTCAAAAAGACAAAATAATAATAATAATAATAATAATAATAATAATAATAATAAGAAGAAGAAGAAGAAGAAGAAGAAGAAGAAGAAGAAAAAGAAAAAGTAAAAAGAAAACAAAGTTAAAAATCCTTAAAGTATAGCCTTTTATTTTTTTTTTTTGTGGTACCGAGAATCAAACTCATGACCTCACGCTTGCCAGGCAGGCACACCACTGAGCTAGCCTTTTAACAGAGGGTACACTAATTTAGAGGTGAAACACTGGAGTGTAGAAAGTGACTGCCTGGCATCCTCTGTGGAGGACAGGGAGCCTGCACCATCAGAGAGGGCTTTTTCCTTCTCCCCTCCTCTTCCTTTTTTTTTGCAATTTTGGTCCTTCGGACACCTTGACATTGCAGATGTTCTGCTCCCAGGTGTGTCTCACCTATGGCCCATAAGCCACTTGCCCTCTCTTTTTTTTCAGCTTTATAATAATAATAATAAAGTTTTATTACTTATATATATTAATTATCTATTTTATATGCTGCCTGAGACAATTCTTCATTCAGTGTGGCCCAGGCAAGCCATATGTTAGAGACACCAGCTAGAGTCTCTATCCAGTCCTCCTCCTGCCCTTGGATCAACAGAAGACAGGTATTTTGTGTATCGGTGCTCATAAACCTCAAAGTACTTCCCCCAGTAATGGTCCCTTTGTTATATACTTTGGGGTTGGGCTCCAAAGAGGAAAATTAAAGTCAAATTATATTAAAATTAAAATAGTTCTATCTCACCTTGCAGGTTTTTAACCCTACATGGACACGGCCTCCAGCTGGATGCTAGGCTGGCCACCTTGTCACTCAAGGACCTTCAGGTTTCATACGCAGACACAGTACTGTTCTTAAGCCAAAACTGCTCATTTTAAAAATGTTACTAACTACTTTTTTTTTTTTTGGTTTTTCTCCGGTACCGGGAACCGAACTCACGACCTTGCGCTTGCCAGGCAGGCGCTTTTGCCGCTGAGCTAAATCCCCAGCCCCTAACTACTTTATTTGGAAATAATCTCAGACTTACAGAAAAATTATCAGGCTAGTATAAACGGATCTCATATTTTCCCTTTCCCTGATTTTTGCTTTGTGCAGCACTGAGGATGCAGTCCAATGCCTTATGCACACTTGGCAAGCACTATACCACTGAACTCTATCCTCAGCCCTCCGGCTATGCACATGTTACCACGTCTGCACTCTCTCCCCCATCCTGCACAGTCAGGCACACACAACCATTGTCACTAGACTTTCTGAACTTAACCTCATAACTTTAAAATTTTAACACAGCTCCCATGTGTCATAGTAAAATACTTAGAGTTGTTTTTCTTATCTTTTTGAGACAGGGTCTCACTCTACGTTTCAAGCTGGCCTTGAGCTCATTTTGTAGCCCAGGCTGGTCTCAAACTCACAAGGATCCTCTTGCCTCAGCCTCCCGAGTGCTGGGATTACAGGCCTGCACCACCACGCCCGCTTAGCTCCTAAAGCCTTAAAATGCATACGGCCCTCTCTTCTTCAACCTCCTCAGATGTTCATAAGAGCCTGTTAATTAATAGACCAATGTGTCAGCATTTTCCAGACAAGGAGTCAGGGCCGAGAAGTGACCTGCCCAGGCCGAGGTTGAGGATCCTGGTTGCAAGTCCACCACCACTCTAACCAGTGCCTTGTTCCAGGCATTCTCTCACCATCATGAGGACAATACAGAGCTAAGCCCTTTTTACCTTATCAGTTCTTGCTCCCTACTCAGAGTGCAACTCCATAGCCGCTTCCCGAAGAAGCCTCGCTGGTCGTCGGCCAGGTCAAATCCCATTGCTATGCGCTCTCATGGAAATACGTCCCTTTCTTCATCACTTCCGCCCCACTTTCCCATTACGCAGAGATCCACTGGAGTAACCATACAATCAGTGTCCACAATGTAGACCACACGAGACAGGCCACTGAGAGTAGCGGGATTTGGGCCAGACGGGGCATCTCCTGCTGTATCCAAAGCACCCTGTCTGCCCACCATTGCAATGCAAGGAGGCAGGCTCAGCTCTGCCAGATGTCCTGTGTTCAAAGAAGCCAGAAATCCCAATTCTTAAGTGAAACCCCCTGATTTTTTAAATGTTGGTATTTAATTTACTTTTTGAAGAGTATGTAGGGCAATCAAAACTTGGATTTAAAACAGGATTTAGCTTACAATCTGATAGTGTGCCTCATCCAATCTGGACCAGCAGCTCCTTAAAAGCAAGGACAAGCTTGCGCTGACGGCCATTATATCCTCAGGGCTTCATTACAAGCCTGGTGAACCTGGCACAGAGAAGTGGATGGGTCGGTGAGTGGGTGGATGGATGCACAGTAGACAAGGGAATGAATAAGTACTCATGGGCTTCAGATCACAAGCGTTTCAAACTCACTACCTAGGAACTACTCACACCACCTGTACCACCAGGACCATGACCCTGCCTCTTCTGCCCCCTGCAGAGAATCCGTGTCTGGGGGAGGTTGTCCGAGAAGCAATTCACCGTCAGAAAGGTTACACATCGTGTGCCACCGCCTCCAAAGTGCCCATGATGGAATGCCGCGGGGGCTGCGGGCCCCAGTGCTGCCAGCCCATCCGCAGCAAGCGACGGAAATACGTCTTCCAGTGCACAGATGGCTCCTCATTCGTGGAAGAGGTGGAGAGACACTTGGAGTGTGGCTGCCGCCCGTGTTCCTAAGCCCCGCTGCCCGCACGCGCACCCACCGCCTCTCAGACTCCAGCTTGGTGGGGCCCAGGACAGCCACATGGCCCCCCATTGAGATTCAGAACGAAGGAGAGAAAGCTGGAGAGCAAGAAAAAAAGAAGAGAATATTAAGTATATTGTAAAATAAACAAAAAATAGAACTTATTTTTATTATGGAAAGTGACTATTTTCATCTTTTATTATATAAATATATCACACCAGCTGAGTATATGTACCATATAGTGAGTTATTTTTACTGAGTTCTTGTTTTGTGATGTGTATTTTTCGTGGTTTTACAAACAGCTGTTTTAAAATTTTAAGACAAAAAAGACTAATAAAAATGTTTTAAACAAAAGGGTAAGAATAAAGAAATGAGAGCCTGTCTGAGGAAGCAGGAGGACATTTGCATGATTGTGAAGCACTCACATGTCCACAGGAACCAAGACCTGCTTCCCGAGCTCAGGAAAAAGGAGTAAGAGAAAGACAGAGAAGGAAAAGATTGTTCTTAGTTTCTTGTTTTTAACTCCTTTTTTTCTCTCCCCTAAAAGCACCCACTTTTTAAGGGTTCTGGTTGTCTCTGCCCAAGATGCCTATTGCTTCCAGGAGAAAGCGGCCCTGGCCTTCCTGAGACTTGCTGCAGCTCACAATTGCTTTCTGCCTGCCGTGGGCACGCTGCAAGATCTGGGGCCACAGGAAGACCCCTTTCTCCTTCCAGGGAGGCCCTAGTTTCCATTAGAGACCTGACCACCTACACCTTGCCAAACACTTCATCTGAGCCTATTTTACCAAATTTTAAAGTAGCTGTTCTTTTCTCTGTAAGAAGGTACTCTTGTGTGAGGCGAAGGAAGACGGTAAGGTTCATACAGCTTCCTTAGGCCTTTCCTCCCCTCTCCAGCTGATTTCACACTGGAAGGAAGCCGAGAGAGCAGAGAGTCCAATGCTGGCATGAAAAGGGCCAGGAGCCAAGCCTGCCCACAGCACTCCCATGTCCAACAGGGATTCCGCCACCCGATCCTCTAGGCTACCATCATGGTGATGACCAACTGCCCATCTGTAGCACTTTCCAATGCACATCTGAACTCTACTTTATTCACCCGTGCCTCTCGGGGGAGAGTAGAGCAGTGAGCCCTATTTCATAGTTTAGGAAACCTAGGCTCTGTAACTTGCCATAAATCACCCTTCTGCTAAGTGGAGGACCTGAACCTGGAATCCAGACTCAAAGCTCTAGATTCTTCTCCAGAATGGCTGAACACAGAAGATTCAGGCAGGTTAAGTTCATCAACAGAGCCCTAAATAAAATAGGAAGCAGATAATTTCTCCTCACTTTTCTCCCTGCTTTTATTCTGCTTTATTCATTCCTTGTTCTGCCTCCCTCTTATACAGAAAAATACTAGATAGAACAAGTACTTGGTATCTAGGAAACATGAGCAAAGGCAGCCGGTCCAGCTTCTGACCCCATTCCTAAGTGACCTTCCCTGTCCCTGTCATCCCACATCTCTCCTCCACCTTCCTTTGCCCCCATGGACCCCTAAGCGTTAGTACTTGTCACCCAGGAGCTCAGCTGTTCCCAGCTCCCTGCTTCTCAGCATCCACCCCTCCTTGCCCAAGAGCCTCCACTGCTTATATCTCAGGGAGGACAGTTTGGGATCTTTCAGCTCTGAGTGTCCCCAGAGGAACCTAGTTGCTTTGTGGGGACCAATGGTGGGCCAAAGACTCAAGGGAAAAAGAACACAGAGGAACATAAGGCAAGGTAAAGACGAGCAGGGAGGGGTTTGCTAGAGAAAGTTACTTTAAAATATGCATGTGGATATGTGTTATGTTCTAGGTACTGTATCTTATTATGGATTTGTTCATAGATTTATTTAGCATTAACTACATTATATCAGATATTCTATTTACTATATATATTTATATACATTCATTTAAGTCTCAAAACAATCATGTTAAAAACATTACTGATTCACTTTACAGTTGAATAGACTGAAACACAGAGAAGTTAAGGAATTTACCAAGGAGAAGATACTAATACATTGCAGAGGTAGGATTTGAACCCAGGCTGTCAGGCTCTAGAACTTGCTCACTTAATCATTAAACCACCCTGCTGCTTCTGAGAAAGAAATATATCCCGCCTTTAAGGATCTTACAGTCTGAGGTAGAAACAGTAATGAAAATGGACACTTATGTACCCCCTGATGGCAGTTTAAAGAACAGAAGTGCTGTTTAAAAAGGAGAATTTCCAATCTTGGGTCTTTGAGGATGAACAGCAGTTTGCCAAGCCCAGAAAGGGAAGATCAATTTTCCCTGCAACAGCCAAATAAAAAGCAGTAAAATGTTTGCTAGCCAGAGGTGCCGTGTGGCAGGAGTATGAGATGCACACTGGGAAACAGAGAAACGGGGTAGATGTGAAGGCAGGGTTTAAACCACAAAGAGCTACATGTGCCAGGCCAGGCCATACAGAGTCAGAGAGAGTTTCAGCAGAGGAAAAGTAAGACAAGGTCTGATTGAGAGACAGAGCTGGTAGCAAAGTAAAGGTGAATCTCTAGCACCCAAAATGGCCTTGGCGCCCCTAGGTCTTCACTCTGTGGCTAGAAAACACTGATTTCAAGGTGGACCCCAAGTCTTTCTGGCAGCTCAGAAGCTCAGCCCTGCAAGGGTCCACCTGATCCTTATTCTACTACCAATACCCTTAACGAGCCTCTCCCCACCCAGTACAAAGTCTGATCGGCCTGCCACCTCACGAGCCTCACCCAGGGCCACTGGCGTTCTAGGAAGACTCGTCAGACCAGTGGCTTTCCCTCTCCTTTCCCAAGGATTTCGGAGCCTCCCTCTTCCACTCACCTTGCGGGCTTGTTCCTGAATCCAGCCACGGTCAGCCAAAACAGCAAAAAGTCCTGATTCTATCTCGGTGCAGCTTGCATTGCATAGATTTTGAGCCTTCCCCTCAATTTTGGAAGCACTAACTTTAAGAAATGTCAAATGCAAAGAACATTTTTTTAAAATCCTTCCCAAAATGAAGTATCTCTAACAGAATTAAAAACGATCTCCTTGAATAGCCAAATTTCTCAGAACAGAAAGCCCCATGGATAGGAAGGCATCTGTTGATTAATTTGCACCCCGAATTTTTTTTTTTTTTTTTTTTTGAGACAGGGTCTAGCTATGCAGTTTAGGCTGGCCTTGAGCTCACTTTATAACCCAGGCTGTTCTCAAACTCACAAAGATCCTCCTGCCTCAGCCTCCCAAGTGCTGGGATTACAGGCGTGCACCACCACACGCAGCTTTTTTGCACCCTGAAAAGTATGGTTTCATGTTTGTGTGGGCACACATGCGCAGAAGGGGCCACTCAGCTCTATGTCCCCTGAGCAGTATCAGGAGAGGGGAAAGTCGTGAGAGCCCCTCAAGTAGCTGATGAAATGTTGTATTTAAAAGCTCTGTAAAATATGAACTAAAAACCTGAAATGTAAGGTGTTGTTATTATTACTGTTGTTGTTGCTATTACTGACATGTCAAAAGCCCTTTTAAAAAATAACTTTGCCTTTTCAGTCTCATTACAAGGGGTCTGATGCTTCAGAAAGATGAAGAGATGGCAAGGACGAAGGAAATAAGGGGCAAAGATAGGAAGGCAGACCTCCCAGGACAAGAGAGTGAAATGAAAATAGCAGTCGGGTGACTCTCAGGTGACCACAAGTGGCCAGGTCAGGAATGGAGCCAACTTTGCTATGCACCAGAGACAAAGCTATCCCCAGACTGCATCCTAAGGCCAGGCAGTCACCCATTCCCTCTGCTGGGAGCAGAATGCCAAAGCAGCAAGTGACCTGACCTCAAAGACTGACAGGATCCCAGATATTACAGCTGGAGGAACCTGTCGCTCACTTGGGGTAGGGAAAGAAAGAGTGACTGTACTGCAGGCCAAAGTCTTGCAGTCAGCTACTTAATATCAAGGGTAGAGAGAGACCCAGGTGTCCACCCAGGCGAAGTTCTCCTGTTACATAATAGTGGACATCCAGGCAGAGAGAAGCCTGGGATAGACCTTGCAATCCAAAGAAGTGTCCTCCATCTTCGCCTGTACATATCTCTGGGGCACTCTCATTTGGCCCGGAAGCAGGAGGCACACTCTGCTTTGGTGGTATCAGTACTGTGGCTTAAACAGTACCAACCGAAACACTCGGGAGCAACTGGTTAAAAATGCCAGCTATCAGGACCAATAAAGGCAGGATTGGGCATTTGGCAAAGCTTATTTCTCTAACTCAACAATAGATTAAGTAGGAAATTTTTAAGACTTTTTAAAAGCAATGTTATAGTGCCCCTTTCCCAGAATGGAATAATGTGCGTTTGCATCCTTTTTCTCAACAGATTGTCATATTCTGATATCATTTAAATAAATGGGTGAGTCACAGAAGGGCTACACAATGCTCTTGTGAATACTGCAACTTAGCCCTGCCGTATGTGTGTTTTATTTTCATCCCTGACTTTCATATCCCCCGGGGCAAGGTAGTGAACCTATGGCATGCTGGCCATCACAGGCTGTTTGTTATCACTGAAAGCTCTGAAAGGTTTGCCATCACTGCCCTAGGGCAAAGAGTTCATTCCTGGGTTTTGGGCAACTGGCGTAGAATTATACGCTTTGTTTAAGGACCAAGTTTCATTCTTATGACTAGGTCAACTAGGTCATTACATGAATTGGTCACTAAATGAGGAATTGTATATAGTAGGTATATTAAATATTCAGAACAAAGAAATGGTCAAAAAAAACTCCTACCTGGTGAGTTTGCTTTTATTTGCATAACTCTTACATGCAGTACTGTAGGTATAACAGAACATAAAACTATAGTACTGTACTATATAGTACAATCAGCAAAGTTTACAGTACTAAAGGTATACTGCGCAAAAAAAAGGCAATGAGGGTCTGTAAACAAGATGTACAGAACAGTACAAAAAAACAGGTAGGTCATTAAATGAGTAATATCTGTAGTTGAAGAAAATCAGTTTCTTGGACCATGAAGTGAGAAAATGAGATCACCACAGACATGAGAAAGAAGATCCAACATATGACTTAGGATCTCTAGGGGATGACTTGGTTTATATAGCTGCGGACTGGATGACATGGGTCACAGGGGAGAAAGCCATTCTGGTTTGAGAAATGCCTAATTAAATGCACTCCTTTATTCACTCATTCAATAAACATTTATTGAGTCTACACTATGTGTGAGGTATTGTCCTAAACATTTGATCAAGACAAAGTCCTTGTTCTCCTGAAAAATAAACTTTAACTACAGGGTGTGTGCCAATCAACAAAGGCAGCGATAACAGGTAGCCATAAATTCACTTCAGACAACGAAATGAAGGAGCTATGACAGAATGACTTTTCCCACTGAGGTCTCTGAAGAACCGGGACATGGGGAAGAGGTGAAGTACCAAGAAATAAAGGAAAAGGAGTGTGACCGCGCAGCACCCACTAGACCCCTGCACTCACAGAGGCAGTAGCCCGAGCATCTTAGTAGGCCAGAGTCGATGACAAGGGCAAGAGCACTCACCTGGCAGCCTCAGCACTGGGGCACCCTCAGAAGGTTACGGAAGTGCTGAATGATAGCATTATGGGTGTAGAGGCTGCCGAAGGCTGGCTGAAGAGCACCTTTGCATCCCTGGCATAAAGTTTACATGTCCCCCGTGGAGACCTCATTGAGAGCAAAACACTGGCAGGCAGTAAAAGCACCAAGTGCTGGAAAAGGAGCCAAACCCTCTCTTTGTATTCCATGACCAAGTGGGCCACACAGGCCAGGTGCCCTGAGACTCCATCAAACACCCATTTGAGGTTAGTTCAATACCTTCTAGTGTAAATGAATATGAAGGGGCTGGGGATTTAGCTCAGCAGCACAGCACCTGCCTGGCAAGCACAAGGTCGTGAGTTCGATTCCCGGTACCAGAAAAAAAAAAAAAAGTAAATGAATATGAAATGGGAAGGGAGTGGGTGTTGTACTGACATGCTCCTTGTCAGACAGTTCCATATCCCTTGGCCCAGGAGCCTACACCTTCCTTCTCCTTTTTTTTTTTTTTTTTTTTTTTTTTTTTAGTTTTTTATTAGTACCTGTTGCATTACATGATTACATTCCTTGTGGAGAGATGCTACATGCATGTACATAACACATCTCAATTCTTGTTTTTCATCCCCTTTCCTTCCCCATCCACCCTCTCCCTCCATCTCTTGATCCTCTTCCTGTTTGAAAAAAAATCTATGTCCCTACTTCCTATTATCTACTTTTATTTTGCTCTTCATGTATATTTTGGATTTCTCATATAAGAGAAACTATGTGATATTTAAGATTGTGCGTCTGCTTTATTTCACTTAATATCGTGGTCTGAAGGTGCATTTTCACGCTTACTTTTTGATGATTAGGCCAGGAGCCTGCCTTCTCAGGTTGAGGAACTTGAGGTACAGGTTAAGCTTCCCTACTTTGAATACCCAAAATCTGAAATGCTTCAAAATCTTAAACACTGAGATGGCATCACAAATGGAAAATTTTACAACATGAAATATTTATGCATAAAATTATTAAAAACTTTGTATTGAAATTATCTTCAGGGCTCAAAGACATACCTCAGTGATAAAGCATCCACCTGGAATGCAACAAATCCAAGGTTCCATACCCAGAACTAAAAAAATTACCTTCAAGCTATGTGCATAATGCATATATGAAATAAAAATTACCTTTGTATTTAAACAACCCCAAGGTATCTCATTATGTATGCACAAATATTCCAAATTCTGAAAGAATCCAAAAGCCAAAAGTACTTCTGGTCCCAACCATTTCAGATAAAGGATACTCAATCTGAAGATTGATCTCTCCCAAATTCCCTTTTGTATCACTCTACTGCAGAGGTTTGAACAGAGAGATCTGCCAACACCCCATGAGCTATTTGGCATCTAGAGATATTGTCAACTGAATAACTGGGACAATGGGTGCTACTGACATCTAGTAGATATAGACCAGAGAGGATGCTATATAAGGGAGTACCCACAACAAAGAATTTTCCCACCTAAATGGCCATAGTACTAAGATTGAGAAACCCTGGCTTAGGCTAATCAGAGTCTTCCCTGAACACCCAGATGGAACCACTTACCAAGGAAGAGAGCAGAAGAACTAAACAAGTAACAAGTAGTGACCTTTTCGAGACACCTTGGCTGGAACAGGTGGCAGGTGGTAGTCTATATTTGTATTTGAAACACTATGATTGATGGAAAGCTGGGATGAGGACATTTCTGGCACTGGGGACCACCGTCATCCTGTCTGCCATTCTTTGCCCTTACAACTTAGTCACTGAAAATAAATGCAAGGCAACGGAGTCTGGAGTGAATATGCTTAGGTGGCACAGAAAATTTGGTGGAGCTGGTGACATTCACTTTTGAAGCTCCCACTGGCAGATAAATAAAGAACAAGATACTGTAATTTGGACGTTAAATGTCCCCTAAAGGCCCATGTGTTCAAGGTTTGCTTCTTGGGGTGGTGCTCAGGGAAGTGGTGGGACCTTTAGGAAGTGGAACACAGTGAAAGGGCCTTAGGTCACTGGGCTGTGCTCTTGAAGGATGTGCCCGACCTTGAGGTAAGCAACTTTATTCACCACACACTCCCCATCATTGCCATCCGGCACCCCCACCAGCAGCCTACAAGCAATGAGTCCAACAATCAAAGCAACACTGACAAAATGAGATAAAGCTGGTAAGTCCGTTTAGTGGACTCCAGCAACCAAATAAATACAAGTATAAGTATCTGTATAAATACAGATGCTATCATTTTGGCAATTAAAAGGTAATACCACCTTTCTTGTTAACATTCTTGAGAGCCTATGAAACTTTCTTAATCGGACTCAAAATGCTGCTTTCCTTTGGAATTTAAAATTACATTTACAAATGCAGGCTGAATTGTATCATTTCACCTAGATGGGAAGGAATGAATGGGATCATTCACTATGACCCAGTGGAGTTCATCCAGAGATATGAGGAATTCAACATAGGCAAATGAACAGACGCAATACATCACATTAGCAGACTGAAGGGCAAACAGTACATGAGCACTGCAACAGAGACAGAAAAGGCATTTGATAAAGTCCAAAATCTCTTCCTGAGAAAAACTCAAAAAATTAGTT